CATCCTTCTAGGGGGGGTTTTTCCTCTCCTCTCTAGCAAATTTATGACTGGGAATTTTCTTGATAGTTCTCTTATCCTAGCATTAATTAATTCCAACCCTTGACTGAAAAAAAATCCAAAATTAAATTGGTACTTAACCCTTTGATTGGTCCTAGTAAGGCTAGACATGAGTGGCTGTAAATGGCATCTTTGATTTTTCCCAAAATACCATTTCACCTCCCACAGACCAAGATGGCACATACTTTTACTTCTTCCACATGAAAATTGTTGTTTTTTTTCTGTTAAGTTGCAAAAACTGGAGTAGTCTGTTTCTCTGTTTCTTCTTTTAGCAGGCGTGTACCTCTCAGCCAGTCATTGATGGACGTAACATGCTAAAGTTACGAAATAACTTGAAGGTTCTGTTGTTAAAATCTGGGACTTAGAAATTGGCTCTCTGTTCAAAATAAACATATCTGTCTGAATTTTTGCCAGACTGTATATAGCAGTGATGGCGAACCTTTTAGAGACCGAGTGCCCAAACTGCAACACAAAACCCACTTATGCATCGTCGGGTGCCGGGTGGGTGTGGCCCATTGGCTGGGTGTGGCCCATTGGGTGGGCGTGGCTGCAGTGATAATGGCAGACTGGGTGGGACTAAAAAGTTCAATCAATCAATTCCAACTTTGCAAGATCTTTTTTTTTCCTGCGAGAAGTTGAAATTGACTGATTGTTTGAACCTTTTTTTTTTTTTTGCACATGGCGGCGGAGGTCTAAAGCAAAAAGGTTTTATAAAACCCAGCTGAAGGCCTAGGACTGGGCCGACGGCGCGAGTGCCCACAGAGAAGGCTCCGAGTGCCACCTCTGGCATCCGTGCCATAGGTTCGCCACCACTGGTATATAGTAAACCTGGATTCGTGGGTTGCATCAGCTTTATAGAACCACGACACAACATTCTTAGAATTCTCCTTTCCCTTAACACGTTCCCTTTTCCTTCTTAAATATTATTAAATATGTTCTTTATTCATTCACAAATAAATAGCAATAAGGGAACATCACATATTCTTGTTTTACTCTCTGTTCGGTGTTGAACCATTTGCTAAGCATTCCAATTATTCTCATACAATTATTTACTTGCATCAACTACCACTTTTACCACACTCATTAAGTGACTTCCAATTCAAATCTGATCATGTGTTTTTTCTCAAGTCTTCTCCGCATACCACCTACACAGTAAAAAGTCACTTTGTAGTTTCCAAATGTGGCTTTTGTCACCTGTATTCATTTGCAGTCAGAATTGTGCCAAACGCCCTTTTTTGCACATTTATCAAACTAATCCCTTGTTTGCATTTGTTCAAACAATTGTTGCAATGTTCTTTTTGCACACCTCCAACAGTTGCCACCAAATTGTTATGTCCATTTAGATAAGATCAAATATATTTTTTTAAAAATCCCAGGGTGATTTTCTCTACTTCTTGGACCAAACTGTCCCATCTTAGGCCTTTGTATTTACTGATTTGTGCTGGACGATGAATCGTATTTATATTTCACTGTTGCTTCATGGGAACTTTGTGTGACCAAAGCATTCTTTCCTTCATATATTTATTCTCATCGTAATGTAAACAGTGACTAATCCCCTAAGAGACTGGGATTAAGGCTCCCTGGTGTTATTCAGCAGGCTAAATTTTATCCCATTCGGGGTCTCATTTATCCCTTTTAGGAACTTGAAAAATTATGTAGCTCTTTTCCAATTAAGAACCTTTATTTTACAACAGGGCTTTTCAACCAGTGGTACGGGTACCACCTGTGGTACATTGGCACCTGGCAGGTGGTACGCGACCATCCTAGAAAAGTGGTAGCGGGGGAGGGGAATGAGCTGAACCAGTAGCAGCACCGCACAAGCCTGAGCAAGAGATGGCTGGAGCTGCAGGGCTGTCAGGACTCAGCAGAAGTGCCAGGATCAGCGCTTCTTCGGAACTGTCAGGGCTCAGCGGAAGCACCAGGATCAGTGCCGCTTTCCAGCTGATCAGCACTTCTTCGGGGCTGTCAGGGCTCAGCGGAAGCACCAGGATCAGCACCAGGCTCCAGCTGGAGCTCGGCGCTGATCCTGGCGCTTTTGCTGAGCCTAGGAGAAGCTCCGATCTGCTGGAATGTTGCAGCATCTCCAGGGTCTTGTGATTTACATTCAGATGCTTGGCAACTGATTCATATTTATGACGGTCACAGTGTCCCAGGGTCATGTGAATTGACCAAAACCTGCTGCAACCACCCAGCAGATGGGGAGGAATAAAAACCAAACATCACCCCACCCCACCCCCGCTGCCAATCAACAGAAATGCTCACAACAATGAAAACCTTGGACAGGAGGAAGAGTGCCACCGGGCGGGCAGGCAGATGTCTTGCTCGGCTGTAGCTTGGGGGGCATTTTTTTCAGTGCCATTATAACTTCGAACAGTCACTAAGCGAACTGTTGTAAGTCGAGAACTACCTGTACTTTATCACTTTTTTCCTTTTTTTTTTGGTCATCAAGTTTTTGACACCTTGCTAGGCGACTGGTGGTACTCGGATGTTGCCATATCCTAAAAGTGGTACAATAAGTGAAAAGGTTGAAAAGCCCTGTTTTACAAAACAAAACCGAAACCAAAATGAAACAACTTGTTTCGATAATCTTTGAGATTCTGAATTCCATTGATTTCTAAGAACTGGGTATGTTTTTCAGAAAAAGAGACAAGCCATCCATGTCACAGAAGCTGTTGTTTTCAAAGCAGTGGTTAAGAAACATTTTAGTCATCCCTACACCCAAGTCCATTCTTGATACCCTACCCCCAAGTGATGAATCAGGGAACCACATTTGATTCTTTTCCTTCTACTGTAACCACACACATAGATAAAATATACAAATGGCATATGTGTTATTAGTGTGTGTGTTTTTAACGGAAGTAGAAAAGAGATAATTTATATCATGTGCCATACTTTGGACTTTCATGTGTTGACATAAGGTACTGAGAGATTCAGCCAACTGCTAACTAGTGCCCAGCGTTCAATCGGCTTACAGTAATTAAAATACCTTTCTAACAGTTACCTTATGGAGCTCAAATAAAACCCTTCCTAGCCTGAATTCACACACTGCACAACAAAGCCAAAGGTTGGCCTTGCTTGTTCTAGACTGGGTCAGGTAAGCTCAGCCCTTTTGGTTTGCAAACCAAGATTCATGGTATAGTTCAGTGGTGGCGAACGTATAGCACGAGTGCCAGAGGTGGCACTCGGAGCCCTCTCTGTGGGCACACGTGCCGTCGCCCCAGCCCCGCCTCCCCCCACGGCTCCCTCCTCACCAGCAGCCCCCCTGGAGGAGAGTCGCCCCTAGGCGTGGCCCGCCCGGAGCAGCACAGCCAAGTACATAGCCGGGCAACAGGGACAAGACTCCGCCCTCGCACCCTATAGCATGCAGATGATGCTGAGAGGTGTGGGCTGAGGGCGTGGCTGCCATGGCGCTGCAGGGCTGCCTGGGCGATCTACTGCAGCGGGCCATGGATGCGGTGCATGGTCCTGTGGGCTGGTGGGGCAGGGGCTGGGCGGGGGCGGAGCAGACAGGGTGGGAGACGGAGGGGGACAGGGGTGGTTTTGGGGCACTCGGTCTCTAAAAGGTTCACCATCACTGGTATAGTTTGTTGTTGAACCCAGCCACGTAGGACATATTGATATATGGTTAAATATATGGTTAAATAAATATATGGTTAAATAAATATATGGTTAAATAAAATGTACTGAGAGCAATATATCAGTTGGGTCCTTGTCTTAAGGCAGCGGTTCTCAACCTATGAGTTGCGACCCCATTTGGGGTCGATCGACCATTTCACGGGGGTCGCCAAGCAAGGCTGTCCGCCATTTTTTTTTTCCTTTTCCGGCGGGTGCCTTACCTCCCTTGAGTTGGGCCAGCTGGTGGTCGGCCTGCTCCGTCTCTGCCGCTTGCCAGCTACGCCTCGGCCGGCGCAGGGGGCGGAACCACGCATGCGCGGCGCTCCCGGGCAGGGAAAGTCCTCGACTTACGACCGGTTGGGTAGTCGACTTACGACCGGTTTAGTCCTCGACTTACGACCGGTTTAGTCCTTGACTTACAACTGGTTGGGGGTCGCGGCATTAAAAAGGTTGAGAACCACTGTCTTAAGGGAACCCACATAGTGTGCATTACACTACTTGATTGTGAGCATGTTTTTATCAATTGCAAACGCATTCTTCTTACAGTAGGATATGTATGTTACTATAAGCATGAGGTGCTCTCTGAGCTTATTTTTTTTCCTTCTGGCAGACGTTTCACTATCCAAACTAGGTAACTACATCAGTGCTACTGACTGCGGACTAGCACTGATGATTGGGTAATGAAAGATCTGCAAGGGGGAAAAAAAAAAAACCAAGCTCAGAGAGCACCAAGGACCCCTCATTTCAACCCTGAGCTACAAATATTCCCCTTTATCGACACTGCGTGTATAGAATGTATTTTCTATTCTTCACTGATCAAATCTTTAAGACGCCGCAGTGTCGCGACCGACATAAAACACCGCAGAGGCAGGCAGGGGAGCGGGCGGCTCAGCCCGGGGAGGGGGGGGGGGAACCGAGGTCCACGCAAACGGGGGGGGGGGCTCCGTTGGGCACCTGGCAAGGCAAGGCGGCCTCCACGAGTGCTGGAGACCTAGTCCCCGCATCTCCTCCGCGGGTCTCCCGTTCACACGTGCCCTGCAGCCGCAGCCCCCAGCGCCTCCCGAGCGTCCCTCTGGCCAGGCGGGGAGGGGCTGCGCGGGGGGCGCCCGGCCAAGAGGGGGAGGTCGGTCCTGCCCGCGGCGCCTCCCCCGTCTTGCCGGCGGCCCGGAGGTTTTCTCCCTGCGTCGTCAGGATGTCCCCACCCTCGCCCGCACCCCTTCCTATCAGGATCCATCCGTCCCACGCCCCTTTTGGGGTGTGTTTCCCCCCCACCCACCCCCTTATTTTCCCTTTACGAGCATCGGAGGGAGAGAAGCAGGCAGGCGCTCTTTGTCTCTGACCCCGGAGAGGCCGGCCAGACAGGGCGGGCAGGTCCCCGCCGCACCGCTTCCTCGCGAAGAAACCGGCTTCTGCTCGGCGCGGCCAGGTGGGTCCCTTGGGCTGCTGCGGTCGTGGCCCCTTCTCTTCTGCTTCTTCCTCCTCCTCCTCCTTCTCCTCCTCGCGGGCTAGATCCCAGGTCCTCGACAGGTGGGTAGATCGGATGCTCGCTTTCCACCGGGCTCCCCTTCTTTTCCCTCCGGTGTATCTGTAACCTCTGCGCCCCCTCTTTCCCTCCCTCCCTCCCTGCCCCTCTCCAGGGCGCAGCGATTGCGCTCTTTCCTGCCGCCTGGACCCATCCTCAAGAGTCCAAGCTACCCGGGCAGTTTTGCGATCCAGTCCCGGTCCTGTGGTAGCCCCAGCAACTCTGAATATTGGGGATACCGTGTGCTTAACCCCCTGCCTCCACACACACACACACACACACACACACACACACACACACACACACCTCCCAGCAACTCTGAATATTGGGGATACCTTGTGCTTAACCCCCTGCCTCCACACACACACACACACACACACCTACCTCCCAGCAACTCTGAATATTGGGGATACCGTGTGCTTAACCCCCTGCCTACACACACACACACACATACCTCCCAGCAACTCTGAATATTGGGGATACCGTGTGCTTAACCCCCTGCCTACACACACACANACACACACACACACACCTCCCAGCAACTCTGAATATTGGGGATACCGTGTGCTTAACCCCCTGCCTACACACACACACACACACACCTCCCAGCAACTCTGAATATTGGGGATACCATGTGCTTAACCCCCTGCCCACACACACACACACACACCCCTCCCCCGCGCCGCTGCCCACACTTTCTCCTCCTTGCAGGCGCGCCAAGATCTGGGTGCAGTCCTGAAGGATTGGCAGCTGGTGTTTGTAAAGGAGGATGGTTTCACTTGATTTCTCCCTGTTTCCTTGTCTTAGCCAGCCCTTGTCCTTCTCTTGATTTCCTGCTGCCTTTCTGCCGCTCTTAAACCCTCTCCACCAACCTGGAGGGGAGGAAAAAAACAAAAAGGGAAACAGCAAATCACCCCCTTTGGGATGCATGCAGCAGTTTACCTGACCTGAAATCCAGCTTGCAGTGACTGCAATCTGCAAGCTGCAGTCCTTTGCTCCCTTCCCTGGGGGGGGGGTAACCCCTGATGAAGCCGGTATAAGATGGTGCCATTAATATTTTTCTCCTCCCCAAGCCTTAGCTCTCTGTGCTAAAAGCTTGCTTTCCTGCATCATTCAAGCATAGCCACTTTTTGCAAGACTTCACCTGCCCTGGAGTGAGGCCAGCCTTATTTGCTTGTGTTTTTCAGTGTGCTCCTCATTGCAGCCCAGTAAAAACCTTAGAGTTGTCTCCTTTATCCCAGTCCTTAGAAGCAAACTGTTTGGAGGGGGGTGGGGGTGCCCCTTATTTCAGATATTTCCATCCTGCAGCCATTAATGAAAGTCGATCTTGGAAAGTGGTGTGGATGGTGGGGATAAGGATTTCTTTCTTTCTGGCGTGTCGCAGGCAGCCTAAGGACACTCCAAAGCCATGTGCTTGCTATTGTTTCAGTAGTGAAGTGCCCTTGAGTATGAGAGATGGGTGTGCGCAAGAGTGTGCAAAAAGTGGGAATAGTTATCGTGCAGGGAGTGCCATGGGTCGGAAAAAGAGGAAAGAGCATCTTTTTGTTGTTGTTAGTTGCGAAGTCGTGTCCGACCCATCGCGACCCCATGGACAACGTTCCTCCAGGTCTTCCTGTCCTCTACCATCTTCTGGAGTCCATTTAAGCTCACGCCTACTGCTTCAGTGACTCCATCCAGCCACCTCATTCTCTGTCGTCCCCTTCTTCTATTGCCCTCCATCTTTCCCAGCATTAGGCCCTTCTCCAGTGAGTCCTTCCTTCTCATTAGGGGGCCAAAGTACTTGAGTTTCAACTTCAGGATCTGGCCTTCCAAAGAGCAGAGCATCTTTTAATTCGGGTTAATTTTGTTCTTAGAAACAACTGGCAAAGGAATAGGGCGGTTTAGATGCCACCATTGGAATGGGGGTTGGGTATTCTCCTTCCCCATGTCTGACTGTCAATCAAGTTCCAAAGCTACAATCAAACATTCTCGAGAGAATCTAATTGGGGGAGGGGGCAGAACGTTGCTCCTTAAAACGATGTGATGTGAAACTATTCTTGGATTTCTTCCACCAGCTTTCCAAATGCTGGCAACATCCAGATGTGCTGGGACTGCAGCTCCCAGAATTCCTAACTGGTGTGGCCCTTGCTAAGAATTTTGAGAGATTACGTCCACACATCTGGAGGGGGGATAGGGCTGGGGCAGGCTGTCATAGGTTATGGCAATTGAGACCTCTAGGTGTGCATCAGCAATCAAATACCTGGCCTGTCCATTTCAGTCCAGCAGATTGGGCAAGTTGTGGATCCTGTCAGTTAAAGAATGTTGATTGGCAGGGAGCAGAAGAAGGCCACTCTGTGGAACATCCTCCCTTCAGAGATTAGAGCGATCCCAACCCTAAAAACTGTAAAAACTTGGGTATGTGTTCAAATCTGGAGTTCTGAAAGTATTAAGTGCCCTGTCTATTGGTTTTACTGTTAAATCGGATGCTGTAGATATCTATTTTGTACTGTTTTTATTGATTTTAAATGTCTGTGGTGGCTCAGTGGTTAGAATGCAGTATTGTAGGCTGACTTTGCCCACTGCCAGGAGTCCAGTTCTGATGGGCTCCAGGTCGAATCAGCCTTCCATTGTTCCGAGTTCAGTAAAATGAGGACCCAGATTGTTGGGGGTAAACATATAAGGAACGGTTGCTGGAATTGGGTATGTCTAGTTTAATGAAGAGAAGGACGAGTGGGGACATGATAGCACTGTTCCAATATCTCAGGGGCTGCCACAAAGAAGAGGGAGTCAAGTGATTCTCCAAAGCGCCTGAAGGCAGGACAAGAAGCAACAGATGGAAACTAACCAAAGAGAGAAGCAACCTAGAACTAAGGAGAAACTTCCTGACAGTTAGAACAATTAACCGGTGGAACAACCTGCCTCCAGAAGCGGTGAATGCTCCAACACTGGAAGTTTTTAAGAAGAGACTGGACAGCCATTTGTCTGAAATGGTATAGGGTTACCTGCCAGGACTTCATGACCTCCAAGGTCCCTTCCAACTTTATTATTATTATTATTATTATTATTATTATTATTATTATTATTATTATTATTATTATTATTATTATTATTATTATTATTATTATTAATGTGCTGACACTGTAAATTGCTTAGAGAGGGCTGTAAAGCACTGAAGTGGTATTTAAGTCTAAGTGCCATTGCTCTTGCTATTTAGAATTATAAGCTGGCCAGAGTCATCCAGTTGAGATGGAGGAACGAACAAACAAACAAACAAACAAACAAATAAATAAATAAGGGGCTTGCACACTATAAAAATGGACTCAGGATAAAAAGAGGGGTGGAAAAGAAGGCAGGGATAAAAGGAAAAGAACTGTTGCTGCAATTGCTGTTTAAGCTTATGGAAACATCTTTACAGAAAAATAGGAAGAATATTTTTGTGCTTATTATTATGGATCTCCGTTTGTCCACTTTATTATGTTTCAGCTTGCAGTATTGGACACAAGGAAGGATTTCCCTTGCCCACACCCTTTCTTTGTTCTCTGATTGTGGAAGCGGAATTTTTTAAAAAAATAGGGATATGTGGAATAAATTTAGCATAGTATGCTGGCTTTCTCTTTGGGGTAAATAAATACGTTGTCTTTGTATACCTAAGGCTGCACTGTATGTACTTTTTTAAATTCATAATTTGTGGTTAAAATATGGGTTAGAGTTCCAAACCTCATATCTTTTCCAAGGTTGCCTTTTGATTTATACGCCAACAATAGCTAAGATGATGAAGGATTTTCAACTGTATTTTTTTGTAGAAAACGAGACACCTGGGGTGACAGTGGTTTCATTCTAGTTCATGTCCAAACTCTTTGATAAGTTTAAAGAGAGAAAAAGAAAAGGAGACATTGCCATAGATTTGTATCTACTATCTGAGCAGAAGGAAGATGAGAAAGAGAGGGGGGGGGGAGAAGAAAGAAAGAGAAAATTGAAAAGAGAAAGAGAGAAAGAGTAATCTTGCAAAAACGTAAATGTTCTGAGGAGGCAGAACATTGTGTTGGGCCAAAGATTTAGACAACATCTACGTCCACCTGTTTGTGACTGTATATAAAGTCACTACTGAGTAATTGAGGGTTGGATCATCACAAATGCCAGAGCACAATCTTTTCATGTCTTCAATCCCATTTTGTTCCACTTGTACAGAATACGGAATAACAAGAGTTGGAAGGGACCTTGTAGGTCATCTAGTCCAACTCCCTGCTCAGGCAGGAGACCCTATACCATTTCTGACAAGTGGCCGTCCAGTTTCTTCTTGAAAGCTTCCAGTGATGAAGCACCCACAACTTCTGGAGGCAAGCTGTTCCACTGGTTAATTGTTCTCACTGTGAGAAAAGTTCTCCTTATTTCTAGGTTGAATCTCTCCTTGATCAGTTTCCATCCATTATTCCTTGTCTGGCCTTTGGGTGCTTTGGAAAATAGGTTGACCCCCCTCCTCTCTGTGGAAGCCCCTCAAATATTGGAACGCTGCTATCATGACACCCCTCGTCCTTCTCTTCACTAGACTAGCTGTGCCCAGTTCTTGCATGGACATGCCCAGTTGTGTGTCTTTATACCTGCAGATACCGATCATCAGAGGTTGGTCCTAGAAGGCATGTACATCCTTTTGACTTTGCACACAATTCCTGGCAGGGGAATGTTTAAATCCCTGTGAAGGCCCTGTCTCTAATGAACTGATGCAGTACCAGGTGAAGTTCAAATTTGTGATCCAGTTTAAAAAAAACAAACCCAAAATCCAGCGAGCTGCTGCTGGCTACATTCATGAAGGATTCAGTGAAACAGCATTAATAAAGTGGGAATGAGCAGCCTATATCTATCCAATCATTTTGTTCTATGTCTCCCACAGTGCATTGCTGTGGACAGTGGTAGGTGCAATCAGTGGGATTGAAGTTCAGACATCTGGACAGGTCCAGGTTCTTGCTGTTTGTGTTCAGTAGTCATATGTGCAGAAAACACATGTCTGTGCACAGGGGAACCGGTCATTTAAGCCAGGGGTCTCCAACCTTGGCAACTTTAAGACTTGTGGACTTCAACTCCCAGCAAAGCTGGCTGAGGAATTCTGGGGGTTGAAGTCCACAAGTCTTAAAGTTGCCAAGGTTGGAGACCCCTGGCTTAAGCTTGCCTTAGATCAGGGCTTTTCAACCTTTTCACCCATTTTACCACTTTTAGGATATGGCAATATCCGAGTACCACCAGTCGCCTAGCAAGGTGTCAATATGAATCAGTTGCCAAGCATCTGAATGTAAATCACAAGACCCTGGAGATGCTGCAACATTCCAGCTGATTGGTGCTTCTTCTGGGCTCAGCAGAAGCGCCAGGATCAGCGCCGAGCTCCAGCTGGAGCCTGGCGCTGATCCTGGTACTTCCACTGAGCCCTGACAGCCCTGCAGCTCCAGCCATCTCTCGCTCAGGCTTGTGCAGTGCTGCCACCGGTTCAGCTCATTCCCCTCCCCCAATAAAATTAGAGAAATTTTTTTTTAAAGAATTGGATAAAATAATAAATAAATTTATTTGGGCGGGCAAAAAATCTAGGATAAATATTAAAACATTACAAGATAGTAAGAGTAGAGGGGGTCTTGGACTCCCTAAATGGGAAACCTATTATTATGCGGCAGGATTGTTATGGATCAAAGATTGGATAAACTTGGAT